ATGTGTTCACTGGAGAATGTTAAAGAGAGAGGGAAGGTGAGAAATCACCCCTGCAGAGTAGGGGTAGCCACACTGCAATCTCTTCTTCATTTTCTCCTCAGGATTTTGGGCACCTGTGCATACATGCCCAGTGTGATCTTCAGGCCACCAGGACTGGAACCATAGGGTCAGCCATGTTGGATCCTTAGCCACCACACCACCTACTGGCCTTTATTATCGTCTTAAATATATTGTAGGAAGGCTAGCCCATGGCCTGGTGCTTAAGGCATCTGGATCCCACATGACAGACTGCTTAATTTGAGTTCTGGACCCAGTGGCTAATAAAAACACACTAGGGTCCTTTTGGACAGAACCTCCATCTTCCAGTAATTAACCAAAATGATAAACACAAAGGAAAGAGGAGAGGCACCTGGTCTATGTAATATATGTTCTCTAGGCCTTTTAGAAAACACAGAGTGGTTGCTTTGGCAACATATATGGGAATCTGCAAGATAGGTGATATTATAGACATAAAGAGAATGGGTACTGTTCAAAAAGGAATGTCCCAGGGGCCAGCATTTAGCATAATGACTATGTCGCTGGACTCCCATGTAGTCGACCGCGGTTCGCATCCCGGACCTGGTGGCTTAAAATTCACGCCGGGTGCGTGTGTGTGCATGCCCAAGATCCCAAGAGGAGAATGGAAGAGAAGAGATTGCGGTGTGACCATCCCCACTGGGGGGTGATTTCTTGCTTTCTGTCTCTATGTCTCTCTCTGGCTGGCTGGCGAGCGCATGCGCCCTATAGCAAAAAACCTCTCCAAAAAAAAAAAAGGAATGCCCCACAAATATTACCATGGCAAAAGTGGAAGAGTCTACAATGTTACCCAGCATGCTGTTGGCTTTCTTGTGAACAAACAAGTTAAGGGCAAGATTCTTACCAAGAGAATTAATGTGCATATTGAGCCTTTTAAGCATTCCAAGAGCAGAGATAGCTTCCTAAAATATGTGAAGGAAAATGACCAGAAAAAGAAAGAAGCCAAAGAGAAAGTTACCTGGGTTCAACTGTAGCGCCAGCCTGCTCCACCCAGAGAAGCACACTTTGTGAGAACCAATGGAAAGGAGCCTGAGCTTCTGGAACCTATTCCCTATGAATTCATGGCATGATGGGTATTAAAAATAAACTAATCTGTGGTCTATAAAATAAAAACTTAAGGAAACCAGCAGTTAGCGTAAAGGCTATGTCGCTGATTCCCACGTAGTTGACTGCGGTTCACGTCCCAGACCCGGTGGCTTAGAACTCACGCCGGGCGCGTGTGCGTGCGTGCCCAAGATCCCAAGAGGAGAATGGAGGAGAAGGGATTGTGGCGTGACCATCCCCCCTGGGGGGTGATTTCTCGCTTTCTGTCTCTATGTCTCTCTCTCTCTCTGTCTGGCGAGCGCACACGCCCTATAGTGAAAACCTCTCAAAAGAAAAAGAAATAAAGAAATAAAGAAAAATAAAAAAATTAAAAATTAAAAAAACACTAGGCACATGTGCAGACATGCTCTAAACTCCAAACGGAGAGGAAAATGGGGGAGAAGGGGTTGCGGTGTGACTATGAATCATGGGGGGTGCTTTTTCACCCCACACAGGCAAGTCTATGTGTCCTCTGACAAACTAAAAAATAGATAGTTGGATTTTATTGGCCAAAAAATTTTTTATAATGTTGACATATATTCATGAAGAATATGTGGTCTTGGGGCCGGCAGGTGGTGTGATGATTAAGAGCCCTGGACTCCCACATGGCCGACCACAGTTCAAGTCCCAGACCTGGCAACTTGCTTTCTCGTTTTCTCTTGCTCTCCATGTCCCTCCCTAATATATAAATATATATAATTTTTTTGCCAATATGTATATATTCATATATTTGGCCAGGGAGGGACACACACATATATATAAATAAATAAAAATGAATTTATTTAAATAAAATAATTATTTTATATTAAAAAATGCCTTAAATTAAAAAAAAATAGTGGTCTATAATTCCAATTTGGGTATGAGAATAATGCTCGCCTCAAAGTATCAGCTGGAAAGTGTTCTCTTCAGTTTTCTGAGGCATTGGTATTGGTATTCTTTCTCTTCCTTAAGTGTTTGGTAGAATTTAAACCATCTAGGGCTGGAAGCTTCTTTCTGAGAAGCTTTTCAACCTCAAATCAATGCATTTAGTAGATAGAGGGCTATTCAAGTTACCTCTTTCTTTCTGAACAGGCTTTAATAGTTTCCATCTCTTTAACTTATTTGTCCTATTCATCCAGTTTATCAGCTCTATTGGCCTAAGTTATTAACAATGTTTCCCAGTCATCTTTTTAACATTTGTAGATTCTGTAGTTATAGGACCTTTGTCAGGCCCAATATTGGTGATGTGTGTCTCCTCTCTCTCTGTTTAGATCAGTATGCCTGGAGACCTCAGTTTTGGCCCATTTATGCTCGGTATCACCTCATCTCAGAGTCTGTTGAGATGTGCCTGCATTGTCCCTCCTTTGTATGGTCTAGCAGTTTTCTCTCTTACTTCCTGTGTTTCCTCTCATGAATCATTTGTGGCTGATGTTCAATATTATAAAACTCTGTTTCATATATTTTGTCTTTGTTTTCATTGTTTCCGGAGGAAGAGTAAATCTGGTTCAGTTTGTTCCATCTTGATCAGAATCAGAAGCCCTCAACACTACTGCCCACATTATTATAGTTTATTTCAAATGTCAAGCTGCCCCACAGTGCTTGACTACAGAAATTTTTTCACTATTACTTCTGGGAATGAAAGAGAAATGTAAGATCCTTAATAACTTTTTATCTCTCAAAGTCATACTTGGAGAGACATCTAGATGGTAGAATTTTACCCAAATAACACTATGCTAGGAATAGCAATAACACAGAAATAATCCAGAGGGAAAGGGAGAGGGATAACTATTGGGTTGCTGAGAAAGTCATGACACATTTTTGCCTAGAAAAATATGTCATGACTTTCCTAATGACCTGATAGTAAGTTATCACCTGCAAAGGCTCAAAGTAATATTTTTTGGCCAGTTTCTGTTTGTTTGGTTGGTTGTTTTTTTGGTGTGTTTGTTTTTGCCATAGGGCATGTGTGCCTACTGGAGAGACAGAAAGAGACATTGAGAAGGAAATAAGAAATTACTCCGTTAGGGGAGATGGCCATGCCACAATCCCTTCTCCTCCTGGGATTTAGGGCACACATACCCACACTTGTGCCCGGTGTGATTTTCAAGCCACTATGTCTGGGACTTAAACTTGTCGGCCATGTGGGAGTCAGCACCGTAACCACTATTCCACCTGCTGGCCACCAAAACATGTTTTTTTGTTGTTGTTTTTTAATCTTTTCTTTTTTTAAAAGAATTGTTTATTGGGACCAGCAGATTGCATAGCACTTACATTGGACTCCTGTGTAGTTGACTGCAGTTCGAGTCCTGGACTTGGCAGCTTAAAACTCACACACATGCATGTGTGTGCATGCCTGAAGTCCCAAAAGGAGAATGGAGGAGAAGGGATTGCAGCATGACCATCCCCCCTGGGGGTGATTTCTTATTTTCTCTCTATATATCTCCCCAGCGAGTGCACACGCCCAATAGTGAAAATCTCTCAAACAAAAAAGAGAATTTCATTCAAAGGCATCTCTGAGCCCACTGAGTAGGTATCATGAGCAAAACTCACCCACCCAGTTGAAAAAATTTATGAACAAGAAGTTATCATTGAGATACCAGCAAGTGGCGTGGTGGTTAAGGCACTGGACATGCCCACATGACCGACCATGGTTCAAGTCCCAGACCTGGTGCCTTGCTTGCCCACTTTCTCCCCCGCTCTCTTTCTCTCTCTGTGTGTCTCTCTCTGGTCAAATTAAAATAAATGAATGAATAAATATATCTTTTAAGTTATCAGTGAAATAAAATGGTGGCAGACATGTCCAAGGAATATTGCATGCATTTGATCCATTTATGAATCTTGTGATAGATCAATGTGTGGAGACGGCAGCTAATGGGCAACAGAATAATATCGGAATGGTGGTGTTACAAGGAAATAGTATCATGTTAGAAGTCTTGGGATGAGTATAAATAATGGCAGAAAAGCCTGTGTCCCCTAGCCAATGGTCTTGTTTTACTATGATGTGAAAATCAGGTCATGTACATTTTTATAATAAACTTTTTGTTAAGTAAAACAAACAAACAAATAAAAACTTGGACCAGAGAGAGGATAAGTGAGAAAGGTGCCAGTGTGGGAGTCTAGTACCTTAACCACCACACCACCTGCCAGCCCCTATTATTATTTAATTTGATACAGGGCACATGCACTCACCAGAGACAGGGAGGGAAAGTGAGAAAGCAAGCTGCCAGGTCCAAGACTTGAACTGCAGTCAGCTATATGGGAGTCCAGCACCTTAACCACACCACCACCTGCTGGCCCTGGCCAGTATTTCTTACCTTTCATCTCAAAGCAAAAGGAAAGCATAAGTTAGGCTTAGGAAGATCAGACTGACTCAGTGGCAAATCGTCATGTCCTAGGTTAAACTCTTGTGAAGAAATATCAGGGGGAGCTCTTTTTTTTTTTTTGGAGAGGTTTTTGCTATAGAGTGTGTGCTCTCACCAGAAAGACACAGAGAGACAGAGAGACAGAAAGCGAGAAACAACCCCCCCAGGGGGGATGTCCACGCCACAATCCCTCCTCCTCCATTCTCCTCTCAGAATCTTGGGCACACATGCACACACGCTCAGCGTGAGTTTAAGCCACCGGGTCCAGGACTCGAACTGCGGCCGACTACATGGGAGTCCAGCGACATAGCCATTATGCTAACTGCTGGTCCCTAGGGGAAGCTCTTGATGTCTTGAGGGAAGACTTCTCTAACCCTGGAAGCTTATCACTTACTGTCAAGGCTGCAAAAAGGGTTAGTTGCTTAAATCCTCTTTTGTTCTGACCCAGTATGCCATCACTGATATCTTACACATTACTCATGTTATTTTTTGTCTGTGTTTTAGGTTTTCTGTCACAACTGGTCTCTGACAAGCCTCTGACCGAATGTATCCGCGCTGGCCATTATGCAGCAAGCGTCATCATCAGGAGAACTGGCTGCACCTTTCCGGAGAAGCCAGACTTCCACTGATGGGAGAGCAGGGAACCCAGCCTCGGAGTACAGCCACTGCCAGATTGCTTCCTGAGAATTCCATATTAATAAAGGAGGAAATTACCTGCCACCCTTTGCTACTATAATAATGTTCTTTCTTAATTTAGAGGGTACGGTTATGCTCATAGAATCTTTAGTCTCTCTACAACCTAAAAAGTGATGTTTATTTCCATCGTTTGATAGTGCCACTTAAATGTCAATTAAACAGGAATATAACATTTCAATAGAAATTTTTATTTCATTTTCAGTTACTTTGTAAATTCACGTGCATTTAGTAACTTGATCAGTTTCTTTTTTTACATTTCTGCTTTGAATGCAGATGTAATTTAATATAATCTTTTTTTAAAGGAATGAAGCTTAATATCGATCTTTAGCTTTTTATACAGATATATTTAATCTAGGAGTATGTGTGTACACACATACACATACATAAATGTACCACATATTAACATGATAAATGGTCAAATAATGTACAGAAATATTTATCTTACCAAGTTATGCCAAGTAATTTCTTCAGTGTGCACTCAAACATAATAAACTTTGGATAATTAAATAATTTGCCAAATATCAGGTTATATTACAATATTCAAATCATATACTTATGGTACTCTGTAATTTGATACAAATAAAAACTTGTCATATTGGACTTTTTCTGCCTTTTCCCTGTACTCAACAAATTAAGGGGGAAAACATCATTATTACTATGGGGCCCTCAAATTTTAATCTAAGTGATTGAAGGAGTTAGGAAGAACAACAACATGATATATTGAAAAATAACAGTATTTAAGTCCAATATATCTCTTGAGAAGAACAAAATGATATAATATTAGGTCATTGGAAAAGCCATGACGTATTTTTCTGTTTTTCTATGCAAAAATGCATCACAACTTTCACTACGACCCAGAAGAACTTTTGGAGCCGGATTTGATGACCTCACTGTGACCTGGGCCAAGTCTCTGAGGCTCTCTTCTTTCTGTAAAATGGAATTATCTCTATGTACAAGGTCATTGAGATGATTTGAGAGAGAATACCAAGTATAAAATATTTGGTACGGTTTCTAGTAAGTGTATAGTAAGTGGTTGCTGTTTTTATCACTATGATTATTGTCAAAGGAAAAAAGATAATGTTTATGAAATTTAACTCAAACCACAGAAAATTCTGTTTTTTTCTGTTTTGTTTTATATCCGGGTAAACTTAAAGGCCTCTTACACTTTATTTTTGTTTGTTAAGATATAAATGACTACAACATTTACTATTTCAGCCCCACTGTAATGACTCAGGCAGTAAGGCCCTGCTGTATGAGACTGAAACCACACGGGAAGCCCTAGGTTCAGATCTGGAGTTGACCTGGACATGCCAGTGTGCCTGTGACTCCAGTTAGCTGAATGGAGGGGGTCATGGTATGGTAAGACCACGCAAGGGTGTCTCTCTTTTTCATAAAAGAAATATAAACTTTAATTTACCATTTTAAAGTACACAATTCTATAGCTCTAGGGGTTTTATTTTTTTTCTCCTGGAGGATGCATGTGCTCTCCAGAGAGAGAGGGAGAAGAGAAAGCACCCCTATGGTGAATGATCTACAGTCTCTTCTCTTCCATCTGTCCCTTCTTTCAGGATTTTGAGTGCACACACATATGTGCCTGGCATGTTTCTTAATCAGTCGGGTCTGGGATCAGATCACATGGCCAGCCATGGGGCATCCGGCTGCCTCAACCACCAGCCACAGAGCCAGCCCTCAGTAGTTTTTAATATAGTCACAGAATTGTGCAGCCAATACCAGTATTTAAATCAAGAACTTTTTTAAAAGAATTACTTTATTTAATTTTGTTTATTCATTCATTTATTTTAATTTGACCAGAGAGAGACACAGAGAGAGAGAGAGAGAGAGAGAGGAAGGGAGAAAGCAAGCCACCAGGTCCTGATCACCCATGTGGGAGTGCAGTGCCTTAACCACCATGCCACCTGCTGGTCCCAAGAACATTTTCATCACCCCAAAAACAAACCCTCTACCTTCCAGTTCACTTCTTTCTCTGTACCCTGGCAACTACAATTCTGTTTTCTGTCTCTATAGTTTTACTTATTCTGTTTTTGTTGTTTTTTTTCTGTTTTGTTAGGGGCACGTGTGCTCAACAGAAAGACAGAAAAAGGAAAGCAAAAAATCAGCCCCCGGGACAAGCAGTTAGCGTAATGGCTATGTCGCTGGACTCCCATGTAGTTGACCGCGGTTTGAGTCCTGGACCCAGTGGCTTAAACTCACGTCGGGCCCATGTGCATACATGCCCAAGATTCTAAGAGGAGAATGGAGGAGAAGGGATTGCGGCATGGCCATTCCTCCTGGAGGGTGATTTCTTGCTTTCTGTCTCTGTCTCTCTCTTTCTCTTTCTGGCAAGCGAATGCTCTCTATAGGAAATACTTTTAAAAAAAAAAAAGAAAGAAAGAAAGAAAGAAACATCAGCCCCCAAGGAGGATGGCCATGCTGTGGTCCCTTTCCTTCCATTCTTCTGTCAGGATTTTGGGCATGCATACACATACACTTGGCATGATTTTTCAGCCATCGGGTCCAGGGCTCTAACCACACAGTAAGCCATGTGAGAACCAGCAGTCACCTTAACCTCCACACCACCTGCCGGCCCCCATTTTGTTATTCTGGATATTCTAAAAACTGGAGTCATATAATGTACTTCTGTGACTGACTGCTTCACTTTTAGCATGATGCTTTCAAAGTTCATCCATCTCGTGACATGTATCAGTACTTCATTTTTTTTATTGCCAAATAATGCATTGTGTAGATACACAATTAATGTTTATCCATTAATCAACTGATAGACATTTGGATTGTTTTTACTTTATGAATAATGGTGCTATGAACATTTATGTAAACCCTCTCTGTATGGAAATAAGTTTTGAATTCTTGTGAGTGTGTTTTTAGAAATGGAAATGCTGAGTCATATTGTAATTCTATGTCTTAATTTTTCAGAGACTGCCAAACGTTTTTCAAAAGGGCTGCACCATTTTATATTCCTAACAATATAAGAGGGTTCCAGTTTAAATATTTGTCAACACTTGCTGTTTTTGTTTTATAACCTCAGTGGTTATGAAGTGCTGTTTCATTATTTCTAATTGCCAAAACATGTCCTTTAGTGGGTGAATGGGTAACCAGCGGTTAATGCAGATAATGGGATATTATTCACTAAAAAGAAACAAACTTTAAACCATGAAAAGATATGCAGGAATCTTGACTGCATATAACCGAGTGAAAAGAGCCAATCTGAAAAGCTTATATATTGTGCGATTCCAACACCTCACGTGCTGGGGCCAGGGGGAACTATGGAGACAGTGAAAAGATTATTAGCTGCTAAAATGTCAGGGGAGGGAAGAAAGAGTGAATAAGCAGCACACACAGGATCTCCAGGGCAAACTACACTGTATGATGCTGTAATTGTGGATACACACCTTTATGTATTTGTCAGATCTGCAAAATACACAACACTGAGTGAACCGCGAATAGTGGGTGATAACTGTGTGTCAGAGTAGGTTCATCGGCTGTAACAAACACACCACTCCAGGGCAAGAGGTTGTGCGTGTGCGGGCAGAGAGGACCTGGGAACTCTGTACTTTCCACTCAGTTTTGCTATGAACCTAAAACTACTCTAAAAAATAGTCTACTTTTTAAAAAGGCACTAGGATTAAAACTCTGACAGAAGAAATTGTGAATAATCCAGCAAAAATACACTTCAAAAATAAAGGAGAAACTGAGATAGTCCCAGATAAACAAAAGCTTAGGGAGTTCATTACTGGCCGTCCCGTCCTAAGATATGCTGAAGGGTGTCCTTTGGGCTGAAATGAAGGACACTAGACAATAATTTCACTCCATACAAAGAAATAACACTCATAAGGGTGACTATTGTGTTGTCATAAAAGTCATGACATGTTTTTCTATGCAAAAATGAGTCATGAATTTTCCGACAACCCAGTACATGGGTCAATATAGAAAACAATTATTAATGTATTTTTATTGTAATTCTTTTCCCTGTTGAAGAGACAAATGCATAAAGCAATATTATAAATTTATGCACTCAATGTATAAAAAGATAATTTGTGACAAAACAAAGAAGGGGGGAAAAAGACTGTGTGCTATCAAAATGAAATGGGAGGGGAGCCAGCAGGTGGTGTGGTGGTTAAAGGTGTTGTACTCCCACATGGCTGACCGAGGTTCAAGTCCTGGACCTGGCGGCTTGCTTTCTTGTTTCCTCTCCCTCCCTTTCTTACTCCTCACCCCCTCCCTCCCTCTCTGGTCAAATTAAAATAAATAAATAAGGTTAAATAAACTAAATCTTTAAAAATTAAATTGGGAGACCAGCAGTTGGCATAATGGTTACATTGCTGGACTCCCACATAGTCAGCTGCGGTTCAAGTCCCAGACCTGGCAACTTAAAACTCACACCAGGCACATATACGTGCGTGCCCCAAATCCTGAGAGGAGAATAGAGGAGAAGGGATTGGCCATCCTCCCAGTGGGTGATTTCTCACTTTCTGTCTCTCTGGCAAGTGCACATGCCCTATAGCAAAAATCTCTCTCAAAAAAAAAAAAAAATTGGTTTTGATGGGACCAGCAGTTAGCGTAATGGCTATGTCGCTGGACTCCCATGTAGTCGACCATGATTCAAGTCCCGGACCCGGTGGCTTAAACTCACACTGGGCGCGTATGCGTGCGTGCCCAAGATCCCGAGAGGAGAGGGGAAGAGAAGAGATTGTGGTGTGGCCATCCCCCCTGGGGGGGGGGGGTTCCTGCTTTCTGTCTCTTTGTCTCTCTCTGTCTGTCTGGCAAGCGCACACGCCCTATAGCAAAAATCTCTCAAAAAAAAAAAATTGGTTTTGAATCATTGAGGCAGAAAGTAAATTTGTGGTTGCCAGGGAGCAGGAGGATGGCAGGAATGGCAAGTGGCTGCTAACAGGTATGAGTTTCTTCTTGATAAGTTGACAGCACTGAAATATTCTGGAGTTATGTGGATCACAACCTGAATATATTTAATTTCACTTTTTTTTTTGAGAGAGAAGTTTTTGTATAGGGTGCATGCGCCCGCCAGACAGAGAGACAAAAAATGAGAAATCACCCCCCAGGGGGAATGGTCACACTGCAACTCCTCCTCCATTCTCTCAGGATCTTGGACACACATGCACATGTGCCCAGTGTGATTTTAAGCCACCAGGTCTGGGACTCAAACTGTTGTCAACTACATGGAAGTCCAGCAACATAGCCATTTTGCAATCTGCTGGTCTCACAACCTGAATATATTTAAAAACCACCAAATTATATTTATTTTAAAAAATATTCTTTTTATGTTTGCTATAAGGAATGTGTGATCCCCAGAGAGAGAAAGAATAAGTTAGAAAGCAAGCCACCAAGTCCAGGACTCGAACCACAGACAGCCATGTGGGAGTTTGACTCCTTAATCACTACACCACCTGCTGGCTCCTAAATTATCATTTTTAAAAGGTGAATTTTATGGTACATGAATTATATCTCAATAAAAATTACTTTGAGGAACCAGCCAATGGCATAATGGTTACATTACTTAGCTCCCACACTGTATTTCAAGGCCCAGACCCAGCGGCTTAAAACATGCCAGGCAAGGGACCAGCAGT